AATGCCCGCTAGCACTGCAAAAGAGCTGATCGCTCCAATGTGAGCTCACGGTACAAACAGTATAGCTTTGGCTAGGCAAAAGCATGTTAATAGATATGAAAATAGTTGACCTCTACCTCAATGGACCTTTTTTCTTCTCCAAATGTGGTAGTGTTTTATTCTTATTAATTAGACTTAAAGGCCTCCTGGGATTGCCATTAAATAAAGTGTTCATAATAATTGGGTGCTTTTAGCTTTGAAAAAACAGTGGAATTAGACTCAGTCTGTATTTGTTACGTACCTTACAGGTTTTTGGTATGTTTTCTTCAATATTATTTAATGCAGAACCACACCATTTTCCCCCTGCACTAGCGAGACAGTCCTGTATAGCAGTTAAAGCTCGGGACTAGGATTCGCTGCAGTATTTCATAACCACCAGCTTTAAGAACTATTCAATCATGCCATGATTATCATCCTGTTTGTAGCCTTAAGGACTGGTCTAAGGGCAGGAGGGTTGGGCTGGGGACAGTGGCTGCAAGAAATGTCAAGTACTGCAGAGAGCAGGACACTTTTTATGTTGGCCTTGTCACCAAAGCCATTTTCTCACTGAACTAGCCTCACTCTCCTCCTGCACATAAAATACGGATCATGAGTTTTACACTCTTTGTCAAATGTCCTGTCAGACAAAAGCTTAACAAATTAAAAGGTCTCCTCTGGCAGGTAGATAGTGTTGCCTGCGTCACAAGCAAAAAAAGAATTCTCAGCTTACATTAAATTTTCTTTATGATGTTGGTATTTTACTCTCCTACACTAAATTTTCTTTATGTTAGTGCTTTACTATTTTCTTTTCTTATGAATACCAGGCACTGTAATGAATCTCACTACATCAGGTTTGTGTGTTTCGGCTTCCCAGGCATACGAAGGCTCCAGCACTGGCCCTCGGTTATACTGCTCAGACACAGATTTTGTGTTCTATTCCTTCATGAGATTCATGGACCAGGTGACAAAGAAAGTGGAACAAGGCTAAACTGCCAAAGGCAGATTTTTACTCTATTAGGAATTTTTTTTATAGTTTCTCTCTTCAGGGAGAGGTGATAACTGAATAGAGTAGTTTTGCAATACAGGCTGTAGAATAATTACTTTGTACGTTGAACAGTACCAGAAATATGCAGATCTAGATAAAGTCATTAAAAATCTCTGTAGAAAGCTGCTTCTAGATAGAAGCTAACTCTTTGGGTGGCTCCACATGAACCAAAAAACCCATCAGGTTTTATGATCTTGCTTGGAGGTATGTTAGCCTTTATGTCCAAGATAGAGTTAGAAAAAGAACAGGCATCTCTTTAAAAAACAGACTTTATAGTTCAAAATAGATCAAAAAAATCCATAAGCTCCATATAAACAAATTCTTCCAAATCGTCACAGCAATCATTTTCTAATCTAGTCATTTGCTTTTAAGTTGGATGTAAGCAATGGGGAATTCATAGCTGAAACCAATATGAAACAAACTGCATGCTCTCAATAGCAGGAGAAATCAGATTTAGCCTGATAATGTATGTCATATTAGTTTCTTCTGTGTATTGGTGTTACACTCATACACAAAAAGCTATTTTAAATATCCTTTGTGTGACAATCTGTTGTGCTCTTTGCTATAAAACTGATTTTATAGGACACACTATTTCTGGGTGCTTAGAAGACAGCAAAAAGTCTTGTAAAAGACAACAGGAGTTTGACAGTCATGACAGACCAATGTAATTCCTTCTGTTACAGGGAAATAGGTCTTTGCAGACACAGCTGTGTTTGCAAGTGCTGTGAGAAATGGTACTTGAAAGATGCAGGTGAAGTAAAAAGTTGAAAATAAAGCAGCAAAAAATTATCTGGAAATGATGACCTGAAAGGAAAATGCTAAAAGAATTAGGACTAATTAGCCTAAGATAGAGCAAAGAAAGACAACGGTCTCCAAATTTTGATAAAGTCTGTAGAAAAATAAGGGAATAATCCGCCCCCTGGGCCAGGCGAGTCTAGTTCGTATGCCTGTATTTGTCAGAAAAAAGCAACCCCACTGGCAGCTTGGTTATGGGATGCCGTGGGCTGGAGGGACACTGTCTCAAGCTTCAGTTTCATTTTTAGGGAGGTTGATACCTGCTAATGGCTAGTGGCCCACCCACGGAGTCTGTGCTGAATGATGAGATATCTGACAGGCCTGACGGGCAGAGAAATGGAGATGGATTGTCAAGAAAAATGAGGGACTTTCCACTTTTCATTGAATTTTAGAAATCCAGCATGGAAAATTTTGCCATTAAGTGTATGGACCTGCCAGCATAAAACTGTACCCTACAGTATAGTATATAGCAAACCCTACTGTTACCCAGTGTTTACACTGGCTACAAGAAAACTTACTTTTCTGTTTGGGCTAGAACTCAAGGAAGTCCATTTCTTTACTCTGGCTGTGAAAAGAACTTTTTTTCCATATGAGTCAACAGAAATTTGTGTTATTTTGTTCTATGTGTAAATACTTTTAAAACTGCTAATTGTATATGGAGCTGGCTTAATAGACACCCATAAATTGTTACAGGAGTTGAGCTTTCTAAGGTTATTTCCTCACCTTATTGTCTTGGGTAACCATTACAGCTCCTTGCACTGACAATATGTCTGTAGTGAAAGGGTGATTGCAAAGCACTTGCACTGAATTTTAGGGATTACCTGCATATAAAACTCTGAAACACAAATAGCTTACAAAGGACACACAAATACCATATCTTTTGCACTCCCTAAAAACCACAGTAACAGAAGCAGAGTTGTACATTTGTGGAATTGAATGTAAGGCATTCATGGAAATACAGGTGTGCATATGGGGAGGATATGTTATACATCTGGTTCTTATGTTCCTATTTGTAGAAATCCTAATTTCCATTACAATAGTCATTTTCAGGACTGCGGCTGCATTGTCACAGGTACGTACAGAAAGCCTCAGCCGCCCCCCCTCTTTCACTAACTGATTTATTCTCCACTGAACTGATGTGTCTCAGGTTCTTCCTTTCTTGCTTGGAGGAAAGGAGGTCCTTCCCTGGGGGTAGGACCTATTCCAGAGAACTGCGTGTTTTGGGAGAGGAGCCACACTATGAAGTCTGTATTGTAAATTAATATTCCCATGAAGGCTCCACAAGTGTCTCAGCTGCTTCCTTAGGGTAAGGAGCTGAATCACTAAGGTCAAGCTAAGGCTCCTCAACTCAGTCTTCCCACAAAATAACCAGATTTTAACCATCTGAGGCTAGAAGTTTTTCTCTTCCTCCCTTTCCTAAGCTGACTTTGTTAATGTTTGGAAATGAGTGTTTTGTCTAGTAGTAAAACACAGTGTTGGAGTCAGGAGTTGAGATTTAGTTTGTAGTTTGGGAACAGTAACAAGCCTCAGGACAGCTTTTGTCCGTTCAAGAACAGATGGGCTAGATTATCTTTTGACGGGTTATAAGATCCAGCACCAAAGAAGATGCTTTGCAATTGACTGAAGTTCAGCACTGCAAAATTGTAACAAGAGGAAGATGAATAGTAAGATCTAGCTATGAATTTCACTGTTAGGTTTGATAGGGAAAGCAAGAAGCAAAAAATTATATTAACAAAGATGCAAGATAATGCAAAGCTACACAAAACACATACCCAGTCAATTTTGCTATACAAAACCACCAATGGCAACCCCATCTGCAGGGTGAAATTAACACTAATCAGTTGCAGGCTTGTACTGCAGATGAACTCAAACAAAAATCAGCGTCTGTGCAGTCTAACCAAGTATAGCCCAAAGCTAATATTACAGTTTTGTGCGTATTTATGTTATTAAAATGCTGTGTCCCAAACTGTCAAACTCAAGTAGATTTGTTACAAATTTACTTACCTATTTAACCCCTTTTAAAAAGTGATTTTGGAAACCTTAATGAATCAAATCTGTTTGAATAGCTTCCAATTAATTGTTGCTCAGTTTTTAGAAGTACGTAGGTTTAGATCTTGATTAAAAAATACCCACGTCTGATGATTTAAGGGGTTTTTTACATGTATATGCAAATCAGACACATGTACTGTACAAGAAGTCAGTTGTCTGGGGAAGTGTAGTTCTGGAAAAATAATAAATATTGGATTTCTAATAAAGTAATAAAGCTTGGACTCCTGTGACATTTGCTACATTTTTATTATAGCCAGTGATATTTCTATCCATTAGCACTGAGGGGGAATGAATAATTTTTAAAAGAAGAGGTGAGGAGGAGGAAGGAAAAACAGATCCAGCAGGACATGAAATATCTACAGCTTCTTGTTTATGAAGTTACAGTTAACAGCACATGTTGTGTTACATTTCATTCATGCTTTGTAGTTCAGAACAGCTAATAACTGAAAAGCCCTTTAACAAAGGATTTACAAAAGGAAAGAACCTCAGCAGACTCTCTAGTTAATTGATGAAGGAGAGCAAAATATTGTTTATTATTACCCTGCCAAGTTTACATTTACATGCTTTATTTTCTTGGACCAAGTCACTGAGGTTTAGTAATAACAAAGATTTTGTTTAACAAAATAACACTTCTTGGACGATTGATGGGCGAGGGAGAGAAGGGAAAGAAAGGAGACGTTAAGATACCGGTGGAATAGACACCAAAGTGGGTTTGAATGTTCTGAAAGAAGAATGGCTTCATTGCATGGTGACAGTCTTGCATGACCATAGTGTAATTTCTCTATCCTATGCTACATTGCCCCAGATACAAGGAACTTGTGGGTGGGAGAATTCATCAGCAGGGAGAAAGTAAAAAGAAATATAGATGTTTATACCAGTGTAAAGTTTTTGGCTCATCTCATGTTATCTTGTCTTCAGTCCCTCTGCATCCTACAGCACTTAGTTCTACAGAGATGTTTGAGAATAAACATTCTGAGCTGGATCTTCTCTGATGCTGTTTTATTTCATCTTATTATGAGACTGGGCTAAAGCCAACTGTAAAACTTAGATCTGGGTTAAGTTTCTAAACCCTGCCAAAGATTAGGGTGGTCTGATCCAAACTTTTGTTTCAAGTCTCTCTCCTCTCTTTTATCAGAGCCACATGGGGAGGTGATTCTCCGGCATTTTCATGCCTCAAGAAGTAATCTTTAACTACAGATATTTTTCATCAAACAAGCAGAAAATATACTGTGGAAAAATCTGTCAGATAAGGCCAATGACTTTGATTAAATGCTGCTGCTGAAAAAATTCTGGAGGTGTCCCCACGTTTCCCATCTCCCCTTGGATGTCCTCTGTTATGAGAAGGTCTCTCTGCCATACCTCTCTGCAATGGCTGACCACCGATGAACAACAGGCAGGGCTGTGGCTGGTCCTCAGGGGTGGAAGGAAGCATTTGGCAGGTCCATGCTCCTTGCACAGTGGTTCTCCAGCAAGCATCCTTTGGATAAGCCAGCAGTGCTTTTGGCAGCCATAGGGGTAGTGAGGGAAGGTGGTGTCTCACATGGCTTCCTACTAGGGCTGTCTTGTGTGCTACATGGCTCACCATCTGCGATTGGGGAAACCTGTCTTCTGCTCAAGGAACCATGCTCCCTGATGCCCTCTGTGAGGAGCTCTCCCTCCTTGAGTGGTGACGAACTGCCAAAAACCAGCTGGAAAGTAGCAGAAAAGTCTCCCTAAAACCCCACACGACTTCACTGATTTTATTTCCCTATAGGTTTCCTACTTTAAGACCTCAAGACCCTAAAATTATGCTTCTTACCAGTCTAGCCTTGAAATGTTGTTATTAAGCTGGGCATGATATATCTTCCCATTCCTCGGATAATGTGAAATAAAATAAAAACAAACAAACAAAAAACCCAACAGTTTTGAACCTCTCAAGAAATCTTGGCAAGGGTCCATGCAAAGAATATATCACTCTTTTATGTCAATCAAAACATTTCATTTTAATGTCTATGTTTAAAATGAAATAGTTCATATGCCTCTGTACTATAATTTCTTCTTTCTAAATGACTGCCAGAAAATCCCCAAATCCCATCCCACAAAAAATAGAACCAGGCTGGGTTTTAATTTACTTTTTTTTAAAAGAGAAATTGATCTTACAGCTGATAAACTGGAATTTTCTGATGAAAAACATGTAGTTGCAATATTTCAGCCAGCTCTGCTCATCTTTAAGCACTCTGGGAGTGCACGGGGGTGAGAGCACGGTGGGGACAAAGCTGCAGATGGGAGCAACGTGCAGGCCTGGCACGTTTCCATTGGGAAAGGGATGAGGTTACAGGGAGAGGAGCCGGCTAGGTAAGGCGGCAGCCCTATCCTCTTCTCAAACCTAATGGCTGATGTGCTGACAGTGCATTTTTCCCCAGAAATAAAACAACAGTCTAACACACATCATGGCGTTAACCTTTATTTCTCCTTCTGGTGACTGTAAATACTGTTTCCCCTTCTTCTGCTCTTTCGGTGTCCAGTAACGCGCCCTCTTTCTACCACCTCAGGTGTCGTATTCCCTTACTCTCCACGGCTGGGTCGTTACAACTTAAACTTCCACGAGGCTCAGCGAGCGTGCCTGGACCAAGACTCTGTTATCGCCTCCTTTGACCAGCTCTACGATGCCTGGAGGTCAGGGCTGGACTGGTGTAACGCCGGCTGGCTCAGCGACGGCTCCGTGCAGTACCCCATCACCAAGCCCAGGGAGCCCTGCGGAGGGAAGAACACAGTGCCTGGGGTCAGGAATTACGGGTTCTGGGATAAAGATAAAAGCCGATATGATGTTTTCTGTTTTACTTCAAACTTCAACGGTAAGAGCCTTCTTCACCCCTACCTTGTAAAGGACTGTTTCTGTGCTTAGGAAAGAAACTCCAATGGCAGCAAGTGATATTTGATTTGTCAAAGCTTGTGTTAGGCTTGGAAAATGTTATTGTTGAATTTACAAGGACACATGCGCAAAGTTGTTGTTGCCACATGTTCACGTAGATCGTTTTTACAACTCAGAACTTGTATTGGCAGGAGTTTCTAATATCTCTGCTTTCACCCCGTTAAAATTTATATGTACTCTTTTAATGTTGATATATGCCCAGTTTATTTCAGCTAAAGTGATGAAGAAACCTGTGTTTCATTAATTGAGCTTTCCTGTTGAATTCAATTACAATTATGATGTTTTACAACTTAAATATATCACCAAAACAAAATTCTGATCACCACTTCATCTATGCTGTTGTGTCAAGCAGCTCCTGCTCATATACCAGGTCTAATATGACTAATACTTCCTTATCAGCAAAGTTATTTCTAGCTTTTATGCCTAATAACTTAGATTCCTAATCTTAGTACACTGCCAAAACCCCGTTCACTTTTGCTCTGAGCTTGGTCTGCGCTAAACCTTATTTTAGCGACTGCAAGCTTTTTTGCTATTAGTAGATGTTACTTTAGGTATGAAATGCCTTGATCTCAGCTTGCTATCATTTCAGGTTTAATCTAGTGGCTGAAAAGGATTTAGAAAACATGGCTGTGAATGAGAGGAACACTACAAGTGAACATGTGCAAAAGGAGTCTACAATCCTCTACAGCATCATACTTGTGGATAATTCCTACGCAATTTTGCACATGTTTGGCTTGCAGCCCATGCAGACCAAGAAGCATGGCCTTTTTTGTTTATGCACAGATTGCTTATCCACAATGAAGCATTTTTGTCTTACAGCACACCAAAAAATAAACATAAGCTGTGCTCTCAAAAACTATGCTCAAGTGCTAAGTCTGCTCCACCCTCTCAAAAAAAACCCAAATCCTCAAACCAACAATATTAAATTAGGCTGGATGTGGTCTAAAACAAAAGTTTAGCTAATTTTTATCATGCTGCATCATTCCATGAAATGCTGGCTCATTTTTTTCTTGCTTCATTTATCCGAGGCGAAATCCTGTATGAGCTCATCTCTTGTATGCAGATTTAACCCTGTACTATAGCAATAGCACCGAGGAATAAAATAAACAAGCAAAAATAATTAAAATGTGATAACTGCACTATTTATAACACTTGCAGAGTAAACGTTTGTGACTACTGGTCACTAATCACCACCCTTTTCCACACTAGCAGCTGGACAGTATCCCTTAAGGATATCCCCCCTGTTTCTGGGGGGGGCGGGGGGGAATACTGACAGACAAATATTGTCTGTGCATTGATACAGCAAGAGAGAGGAAGAGGGAGAAAGAGGAATGCGGTAAGGTGAGGATAAGGTATACAGGTAGTGGAGAAATCAAAGACAAGACACTAAAATTAATTTCATCCTTGGTGAGTCTGTTAAACTGACCTGCAAAACAGAATACTACACAGCAGTAGGATGATATATAGAGCTGAGCACCATCTTTCCTAGCTCCCTACAGCTCACTGCCATGTAAGGTGTCAGCAAAAAATCTGGACTTCTGCTTCTCTCAGCGTCCATTGCCTTAACCAGCAACTCAGCAGGTTACGTTATCCTCACATGTCCCTGCTATGTTCTCCACTATTCATGTCCCAAGATTACCTTAGTATCCACAATAAACCCAGTCACTCTCCCAAAATGCCAACCTCCTATTTTCAGCTGAACACTTTGGATACCTCTTGTATGCTTAAAAGCATACGTTAGCTTTCTCGCTGTAAAGGGAAAAGCTTACAATAACCCATTTTGCCACTAGATTGCAGTTGCCAAAGATAGTGGCTACAGGCGAAGAGCTATTTCTGCAACACCCAATATTGATTCTCTCAGCTCAGGAACAGCCAAGGAAAATGAGAAGTGGTTAGGACACCATGCATTTCCAGCGGTGGCAGTGACTGCTGGAGTCTCCTGACGGTATGAAACAGAGAAGCCTTCAGCTTTATGTCACGGAGCTGGAAAAATGCCAAGGGCTCCAGGATCAGGGGAGTATAAGGCAAGCTTAAAAAAAAAAAATCTGAAGAGGTGTCAGGTGGGGGAGGTGCAATGATCA